GTGTGCGCCCGAGCGCACACGGAGCAGCCCCGCGAGGCGGCAGCCCGGGACACGCGGATCAGCCGCAGCCCCCGCCGCCTGCCCCATGGCGCTGAAGCGGATCCAGAAAGTGAGTGGCGACCAGGGACGACCTGGGCGCCCCCGAGGGGTCCCTAGGAGTCCCGGGCGCACGGCGTGGGAGGGGCGTGGGCACTAGGGAGGCCGGGGTGCCGATCGGCCCCGCACAGGTGAGGTGTGCACCCGCAGGGTCCGGGTGCTGGAACGTGGGGTACCCCGATCCCGTCGTGCCCTCTCCCGGCTGAACCGGTAGCCCTGGTTGCGGGTGCCCGTGTGGTGGGTGGCCAGATTGTCCCGGGGTGTGTGCATCCCCACTGGGCCGGTGCTTGCCCTGCAATGGGCGGCCTGCGTCCCCTATCACGCCGTGCGTCCTCACAGTGTCCCCGGAGCCCTCCTTCTTGTGCTTGCACCCCGGACTCCCCCGGCGGACAGGGAAGGTGTGGTGGGCCTAGGGCCTTTATTCTCAGAGCGTGGGGCTGGGTCTTTCTGGGCTCTGCAGTTGGCTGGTGCTCAGTGGGAGGAAAGGGCTGGGAAACCGGGATTGGGGACGAGGAGCCAACAGAAAGCTCTTGCCCTTGCTATTTTGGTGGCTCTGCATGCAGCTGCCACTTCAGGTCACATAGCTGTACTGTGAACATAGTTGCTGATACACAGCAAGATGACCTCCTGGCTGTGATTCATGGAGAGGCAAGCCAAGCCGGTTGTTGTTTTTCTTTCTTTCTTTCTTTCTTTCTTTCTTTCTTTCTTTCTTTCTTTCTTTCTTTCTTTCTTTCTTTTTTACACCCTCACTATAAACTGTAGAGTTGAAGACACAATAGTGAGGACCACAAATTAAATCGTTTGGATGCTTTGATGCATGAGTAGAGAATGAGGAACAAGTACGAATGGTCAACCAACACACACGCTCCATCCCAGCCCTCCTCTCTTTGTATTCTTTACCGCACCCATTTCTCCCTCTGGCCTGTCCCCTTCCTCAAGTCTTCACATTTACAGCAGTAGTCCTTGCCGGGAACACAGTGTATGGGAGCGCTTTGGAAACAACTGCGCCTACAGTGGATAATGTGTTTGGTAATTGATTTCACAAGAAATGGATGGCTCCCCGAACATTTTATCAACCTTCCCAGCTACACCTCACTACAAATGTTCTGAGTTTAGAGCCGTAGTAGACAGGCATCTTTCGGTACAGAGGACAGCAACTTTTACACCCAGCCAGATTTGGGGTTCTTTTTGCATCCAAACGTTAGCTGTGTAGATCGTTGCTATTCTTTGTGCCATTGAAGGTCAACTCACTCTAAAATGGAAAATCAGCATTTATTAAGTAATGACGTTTTCTCTTTTGAAGATAGCACGATGGGGGTTTATTTTTGACCATATAAACAAACAGCCCTAAGTTTGAAGCAGCAGTCCTCACAGTGCCGACTTCTGAACGTTTACTGTAATGTTGGTTCCCACTTGGATCAGTCGGCACACATTTTTCCAAGGAAGTTTTTGGACTCTGCTTCCTTTCACAATGGTGGGGCGTTTCCATGTGGCTTCACACACAGTAGCTCTTAGGTACCATAGGATTTATCTATAGAACGTCCATTCAAAAAAACGAAACATTATTGTAAGTGCAGGCTTGATAAGTCTTGTCAGTCATGCTAAGCCCATGTATTTAACTTATGTTAGCATGGCAAACACCCACATCTTTTCTTTTTTTTTTTTTTAGTAGATATTGTTGAATAGAATATGAGCAAAGTTGTCCATTACACAGATAACATGTAAGTACAGCTGATGTCAAACCTATGACAACTGATATTTTGGAGACACCATTGGAGGTCGCATGATACTATCCTTCAGTATCAGACCTTGGCTTCCCTTTTTCTCATAGGACATTGACTGCCCCGAATCATATCAGCCATACCTGCCAGCCAGTCCTTCAAAACCAGTTGATTCTCCCATCTTACCCCTTCCTAACCTGTTGTCTTGCTGAGAACCAAGTCCAGTCTGAGCAGACTGCCTCATGATCAGCTCTCCCATGCGCATATATATATATATATATATATATATATATATATATATATATATATCCTCAGTTTATTCCTACAGATGGAGTTCAAGGCTAACCTTCAGGCTTTTAAAAAAAAAAAAAAAGAAGAAAAGGATTTGTGTGTTTGTGAGTACATGCCACGTATGTACGGGTGCCCACAGAGGCCAGAAGAAGGCATTCCATCCCCTGATGCTAGAGCCACAGACAAGGTTGTATGTGATGTGGGTGCTGGGAATTGAATTTGGGTCCTCTGGAACAGTAATAAGTGTTCTTAACTGCTGAGCCATCTCTCTAACCCTTGGCCTTCTGTCTTTGAGTATATTTTAAAGTAATTGGATAACTTCAGCCCCAGCCCACTGGGTTGTACTGTTTCTTTACCTAATGTATCAGGCCTTGGAGCTCAGAAAGCTAGGTTTGCAGCGGCGTAATCGAGAGTATGGGCAAGGAGACAGTCTCTAGGGCAGGGAGCGGAGGCGCTGTAGACGCTACTGCTGCCCATGAAATGCTGAATCTCAAGGTTGAGTTGGGGGTTAGCATGGTAAGATCAAAAGCCCCGATGTTCTAGTTTCTTCTCTTTATCCAAAGAGGGGACCTGAGGCTGGAGTCGAGACAGGTTTTTCCCAGGGTTCATCTCTCGAGAAGTTATTTGGCACGTTTGAGAATAATGTTCACGGCTTCTCATTTCTCCACCTGTGAAAAGAACAAGGATGTTGGATTAAAAACGGTGTCTTTATACAAAACATGTGGACATCGGCGCTTCAAATATATCTCCGTGCCAGCGTAGACTAAATGATTTAATGCTCTAATTTAGTCACTCTGTGCCAGTCTTGCATTTCAGCTCATAAATTTGCACACCCGTGGCCTATTTTTAGACAGAGAGAAAGATGTTATTACAGTCACCTAAATCACTGAAGGAATAAAGTTTGAGCAAAATCCAAGGAGAGAAGCCTGAAGCCGATTTGAGAAGAAGAGAGCAGCTTCTCGGTTGGCTGTTATTTTTAGTTGTTTTCTAGGTGTTTCTTCTGTGAACACCGCTTTTCGGTCTTTAGTACACGTTGCTTTGAAGCATCACTTTTTCAGCCGTCAGTGTTCTGAGATAATGCTGCACGCTTTGAAACCCAGGGGAGGAAGGAGCCCTAGTACAGCCGTCATCAGCACCTTTGTCGTGTTCCTTTTGTGCTGATTTTACATAAGGAAATTTAGGCAGTGATCACACTGGAGGGTATGTGCTAGATCTCAGCCTTTTTTTTTTTTCTTTTGTCTGTATTCTGGAAAGTGAAACAAAAGGCTTTTCGTTCCTAAATATCGTAACACAGATAATTATTCTTTTCTGTATAGTGTTCTGTCCCCAAATGCAACATCTGGGGCTGGGAGTGTGGCACTGTGCTAGAACGCACACGTCTACTGCTCCAAAAGCCCAGGGTTCAACTGCCAACACCGCAAGAAGAAATAGGCTGCCTTTGGTTCCAAACATTGAGCACTGGACTTTTTAATAATTAATCTAAATTGTGTGCATGAACATAGATTAAAATGCAGCTTTGTACATGTCTTGGGCTGCTGAGACTTTGATTTGTGTCATTCTAAATCACGGTGTTTGTGTGCCGGTCTAGTAAACACGGTATCCTACGCAGCTTGACCCCGTGTGTCTGGGTCATCATCCAGAGAAAGAGGATCTAGCTTTTGTTCCCGGCTCTGTGGTTTTACTGACTTCTGTTTTCTTATCCACACGATGTCCCCAAGAATGACAACCACCACCACCATGGGTGGAGGTTGCTCTGCTTAACTCCATGCCAAGAGTGTACGTAACCTGCATGAGTGGAGTAGTTTGAGTCGTTCATGAGGCCCTGGATTAAGAAGCGATCTAATTCTCACTTTGTAGGCGAAGAAACAAAGGCACAGAGTTGCTAACCAGAAGGGCACAGCCAGCACAGGGTACACAGGATGGCACAGGGTATGCAGGATGGCATAGTCAGCACAGGGTACACAGGATGGCACAGGGTACACAGGATGGCACAAGGTATGCAGGATGGCATATCTAGTGCAGGGTATGCAGGATGGCACAGGGTCACAGGATGGCACAGGGTATGCAGGGTGGCATAGCTAGCACAGGGTACACAGGATGGCACAGGGCACGCAGGATGGCACAGGGTACGCAGGATGGCACAGGGTACACAGGATGGC